AAATTCTTACCGTCTTGCTATCAGACCTATTCAGCCATTGTTAGGCATTGTTGGGTAAATACATCTCTACCATGTTTTACAAACTATAGTTTCTGAAGCTGCCAGTCACAGAAATGCTTTTGCGTTGCCTACAGTTTTCAAAGCCGTGGTGGTTGTGTAATTGTCTTAAAAGAATGGAACGTTTCCACACTGTAACCAATGCGTAGTTTGACCCCGAGGTTCAGTTGTGTGTGTTGGTGGATTACTCATCACCTTTAGCAGAGATTTCGGGTGGTTGCAGGTGGTAGACCTTGTTTATTTTAGCTGACAGTCTCTTTGTCTTAGTTTTGGAGTCGGATATATGCCGGCCAGAATGTAGCATTCCAGCATTACAAATGCAAGTTCAAGTGAAGAAGTTAATTCATTTATAGTTATTAATATATCGCGTAGCAACATCAAACTCTTCTTCTCAGAGGCTTTGTATCTGCTACTCCTATTATTTGCTTTTCTAATCCATCCTCAGAAAGGAAGAATGTGGATAATTGCATTTGCCCTGAAGTAGTGGCAAATTCATTATGTTATTGTACTGTGTCTGCATTAATCTTCTGATGATTGTCCCGGAAACGGTCTCTTGGAGCTGCTAAATCCAACCATTATCTTATCTTTACATGGCTAAAAGGAGTCATCTGGAAGTGGCGGCAAATTCATCAATAATCCACATTTATTTAAAGATAGCCATGCGGATAACAGGAATACGTTTTGAGGATAAATATGAATAATAAAAGCCATCAATAGTGGGTTTCACATCTTCACGGACAAAAGGAATTTGCAAGGTTGGTCCACTATGTGACTGGAGTTAATATCTCTTGAGGTACAGAAATAAGGTTGCCACCCTACAACAAGAACACAAACACCCAGGACGTATCACAGAAGAATAATATCGCACCATATATACCGGTATAGAGGATAACTGCATGTTAATGAGTGGTGTATTATTACACAACTGGTAAAATAGGGACTGTTAGTATCACGGGATTTCACGGGGAAGCAGCTTCCTCAAACAGAGGACAATCCTAGGAAAACCCAAGCGTTAACCCGATCTACGAGCAATTGAAACAGGAACGGCTGTCAATTATATTCACCGGTAATCCTTGACACACAACACGGTACTGTACTGTCCAATGCTGCAAAGTGATTCCTGATCAAACACGCTCTGCTCGACAGATGCGACGTGGGCCTGCGTGCTCTCCTTTCTGCTGACTTGTATGCATTTGTCAGCATCGTGTAGTTAAGACAGGGCGGCACAGTACGGTATTTGTAAAGTGTCTTCCGGTGTGGCTTTTGTTCTCGCTTTATCTCGGGATAATGCTGGATAGTCCAATACAGTGGTCCTTCGCTCACAACAGAGAATGAATTTTGCCGATCTGCATCTATTTCCTGTCTCCCTTGATAATGTTCTGGAGGTACTTATTCAGAAGATGCATCAGCACTGAGGAGGATGCTAAGCCTGCATTTCTGCACGCTTCCTTACAGTTGTAAAACGATCCCATGACACTGTTTACTGAAAACCAGGCCAGTGTGCTGGCGTAGTCAAAGTTTACCAAGAAATCACACGTGTTTTCTAGATACCTCGCGAGGCTGTGGAACAGCTGCTTTCAAACAGCTTGAAATCTGCTTTACGAAACCATATTGCATAAATATGTAGTATTTAATTGACAGCACATTCCCAACAATACTCATTTCAGCTCGATTAAGGGGAGATAATTACTATTTCTTTGTTTAAAGGAAAGAGAGCCTCAATAATTGCTTCCCCTTAGTTGTTGGTAACATACAAATCCAGCCTTTGGTGCAAATGTGTAAAGCCATTGGCCTACATTTGTATAATTAACATGGGCGGCGGGGGTGGTGTTGGGCAGTGATGCACTGCAGTGATTAGCGTGCTGCACGACTCTGCTGCATTCACTGCGGCGACGCTGAGTTTTGGTTCGTGGCCACAGGGTGCAGACCCACCAGGACCGTTCCTGGTGGGTCCACACCCCCCGCCCCCTTGCCCACCAAACCTCCACTAACCCACGCTGACCAGTGTTGTGATGTTTGACCAAATATCCCCCCGACGACTGACATCACGGCAGTGGACTGACAATTGGCTTAAATGGGAATTGTTATTGTCCTCGTGAACGTGGACTGCGCATGTATGTGGGTTAGTATAGTCTCGTTGGTTTTATTTATGGAGTTACGGTGCCACATGCAGGTGTTGTTATGGAGATGCTGCGAAATTATATAGGTCTCTAAATTCATGTTCTGAAATATAAGACCTGACGCTGTATATACTGAACAACTACAGTATGTACTGTTTAGTACTGCCCCATAATATAATTGTACGACTATGGCCCCAACATATCACAGTACTGGAAGCAGTTTAAGGTGTAGCAGAGTGCACGCTGTGGGTTTTCAGATTTCACGCCCGTTTTACTTCACAGGGCACGTGCCGTTCTGGAGCATTTAGCGAGTACGGCCGAACTCCAATAAAATAATCCGTGTTGATATGGGAGGGACCATGTCGTGATTCGCGTAAGACGAGGTGCACTGTGGAAGTTGGTCTCGTCGTCCACGCCGATGCAGTGTGCCACGGATTACAGGGGGCATTAAACCACGCGACCCCGTACAAATCAGTGAATAATTCGCGATGCGTACAAATACATCAATTGTAGAGTTCGCATTTATTTTGTTATAAAAACTTTACAATACACGATAATTACCTGTATTTCTGGATCAGCGGTCCATCTTTTTTTTCTCACCAGATCCTTTAGATTTACAGGTTATTGGAATGCGGAGCTTTGGAGTTAGTTTTTTTTCCGTACTGGACTGATAAGAGATAACGTAATTACGTCTTTCGTGCTTGAAGTAATTTTTCAACATAAATTTCCTTGAACAATTTTTTGGGTTTACTACACTGCTACCGTACGACTCTCGTACAGTATTAATAAAACCATGTACTGATGGTAAACCTCTAGCCTTTGTGAACAGTACAGTACTTGGTTTTGTAATGGTTGCTGCTGCCCCGTGTCTTTTTCTAAACTTTTGTAATCACCCACAGATTTTCAGCTCACAAAACACATGTTGGTGTTGCTTTGAAGAGCCTATTTCTCCACCTGTTAATAAAGGACTGCACACCGATGACTATGATTTGGAGCATTTCCGAGTGTACAAAAACTGTTGTCAGCTATATGCATCAGGATGTTGTGAAACTCTTTTCTCGTGGGCTTCATGCCTTTCCAGCAGAATACATTAAATCAGAGTGTGGACTAATATCATCTGTCCCTTCTGTATGGGATAGAGTGTTGCCCCCTCACATTCATGGGGTTTCTCCGGGTCCTCTGGTTTACCCCCACATGTATAAACACTAAATGGCCAAAATGTCTTAATATATAGAGATCTGCTGAGCAATTATTGCTACTGGCTAAACGCCTGGCAGCCTTCCAACTTGATTGTAGTTCCTCAGTGATTATGAGATTCCATTTGCATGAATGATGATATATATAAAACGTATCATTAGATTTGTTTAAATTATCAAATTATTTACACTACAGTATTAAGTCAATTTGCCTAATTATAGTATATTGACCTTCAATAAAACTGAAGTAGAGTATTTGTAGATACTACCCTGTAAATACTATACTTTATCTACGTTTTTCATACAATTGTGGAAAATCATTACCATAATGTTTCTCACCAACAGTTCTATAACACTCTCATTATTCGGTTTGCCATGTTCAGTCACCCTCAAAAACTCCTTTTTTTAAAGCGTTTTTGCTGGAGAGAGGGCACTCCAGTGGCCTAGGAGGGTAAGGGTTCTCAAATAGGGATATATAGATCAGTTACCGGGCCATAGGTATCATTCGGGGTTTTCAAAATGCTCAAGGGTCCACAGGGTTATAATATTATACTCCTCACCCGCTGGTCTGATGTTAACCAGCAGTTAAATCCTGCATGGTATGTTAATACAAACCAGTATAATCCAGGAAAAAAACATCCAGTACTGTAGTAAAGCATTTGCATGTATGTCATATTTAGTCAATTCAGTTTAAAATGTACAAAGATAAAAATGAGTACATCATGTATCATTCTGTCATCGCAGCTATCACTTATAATAACAATAATAACAAATAGTTCGAAGCTCTTTTGTTAATCCACGTGGAGATGAAGGCCTCCCCATGTTGTAGTTATGGGGGTTGTTTGAGCCTGCATCACCACGGTGATTAGTGCAGGACAAGTTCAGATATCACTTGGCACTTGATGTTAGCTATGGCTGCGAATCGAACTCAAGTTACCATGGTTCTCTGCGCACTCCACGAACCACTGCGCCACAGCTTTACCCAATTGTTGTACCTGCAAAAATTCAGTTGCAGTAAATTTGAGGAAGCTGTTGTACTATAGTTGTCCGCTTTGTTTAAAAAAAACATATTCAAGGTTCGCAATGATTGTAAACATCCAAACTGTGAAGATTTGATCAAGAGAGGTTGACAAAGTGCAGAGGCAATATCATTCCGTGTAACTGTGGCATTTGACTTGAGGCATTGTACTTGAAAGGTTATGATTGAAATACGACTGGGTATGTTTTATGGTTGTGTTGTGTAGCTCTCTCCTGTCTGTTTTTGGGTTGTACGTCATGCTGTTCGGTACCATGTCTGACGTTTCGCTCCACGTGCTGGGAGTTTCTTCAGGAACGGAACCCAAAACATCGGAAAGCTATTGTGACCGAAATGTTTCAACATCATAGCATGGTTTACCATGTAATAAGGATGCCTACAATGTAACTATGTAATCTCTTATAGTTACTGTCCTGCACAATTTACCATTTTTTATTGCACTTAATTTTTTTTTAAATATCTATTTTCTGTATTTGATTTAGCTGGTGTGAAACAATGTTCAAGAGTTTACAAGCTACAATACAATGCATTCATATTGTAATGTAGGTATTCTCAATAATGTTTTATCTGCTCTTTGTTTTCTTTCCACAGAAGAAAAGGGTGGTCCAAACCCACATCAGCATGGGTGACCGCCTTTAAATCTCAGTGATGAGTTGGCTTGCAGCCTGGTGCTACTTCAGTACTCAGACACCTGTCTCTTCCCTTGCTGCCCAGCACGTTTCAAATTTCGGGTAAGTCGAGCGATAACCTGACGGCATTCCCTCTGGATGGTTTTTCACCTTGCTGCTGAGGCATGTCACTGGAGCTCTTTAATTTGTTCAGACAATCCAGTCTGAAATGAGGCGCACTGTCTGGTTTGGGTAAAACATCACCCCTGTTGTAAAAACATCACATCTCTGCTCGCTGTTGTTGTTGTTGTGTGTTCAGGAGAAGTGTGTTTTGCCTTTGTGCCTATTTACGGTGGAAGTTTTATTTTGGTTTTCGCGTGCTTTGTGTCTTGGCATGTGATAACTCGCATGTGTGGTTTCTGCCAGATCTTAAAAAATAAGCAGTTGTAACAGATGGTGATGAGACCAAAGGAAAAATACTGAACGCTACTTTGTGAGGAGAGCGGTGTCGTGGAGGTTGGGTGGGGGGAGAATGTGGGAAGGTGAAGATGGCAGTAGCGGGTGCAGGATTTTCAGCATCTTTGCCTCGGGGACCCGTGTAATACAGCGCAGCCCAAAAGGCCGCGAGGCATAATAACTACTGAACACGTGCTGCAGCTTGTGCATTGATGCTCCTGCTATTGCTCTGCTCAACTCTCCAGGGGGGTCTTGCCGAGTGTGTACAGCTATGCTAATTGTGCCAAGATACTGTAATAAATTGCAACGCGCACTCTCCTTACTGATTTTGTCACATGCACAGGAGCATGCTTATGGGACTAAAATTATAAATTACCGAACTCTCATTAATAATAAAATAAATTCGCATAAAAGCAAAAACAAATATTACGTCTGAAAGGTGGTAATCTCTCGTGTCATGAAAACATTGCTCATTGTGAATTTTCTCATTCTGTCAAATATTAATTTTGCCCTTTCCCGTTTGGTGAAGGGAAAGTAAACTCCTTAGAACATTTGCGCAGTGGTTTTTTCCTTCGAAATATTGCGTTTTAATTAGGTTGAATGTTGTCATCCAGAAAAGAAACTGTATATATAAATAAGATGCTGCAAATTAAAGTTGTGTGCCGGCTGTGAATAGCTAATTAATGATTTAAATACACAGTTATAACTGAGCCCACCTTGGGTATAGTAGATTTGGAGTTCAAGTCAGAAAGAAGGCACCGCTCGTTTGGGTTCTCAAGCACTGGGATACATTTTGTTCTTTAGTTTGGTGCCCAGTGGTGAGACCTCACCGAGCGCGTATTCACACAACGTGTTTTTGCTTAATACTTTACGGGAACGCATTTACCACGTTGAACGAGGAATTACAGCATAGCGGAAACTGGGTTTTCTGCTACACTTTGCTCATTGTAATTTAAAATGTGTTCATGCTTTTAGGATGTGCAGTACACACTCGACACACAGTTGGCTCTAGTCTCTGGAGTAAAAAAAAAACAGTTAATTAGTGGCATCCGTAAATTTTAGGAGCAATTTACACCGCCGTCGAAACGTGCACAACTTTCCTGCGAGCGTTTTCTTTCCTGTCTCGTATGTACACATGTATGTATGTTGAACATCTTTCGCACCGTACATTGCCAACCGTGCTAATTGGAGGTGCTCGCAGGCAGCCTGCAACGTCGGAAAGGAGACTGCCGGCCGGCCGGTCTGTGGTAGTGGCGCGAGGGGAAAGGCGATTTGGTTGGGTTTGGGTGGGAATGTGGAACGCGGGCGGCCAAGCCGGACAAACGGACCTTTGTGCAAGGGTCGCTGTCTGCGTGCTTCGTCGTGGGAGCAGGTGGCGGGGACCCTGGCGCGGGGGCTGTTTTGTGTCGGCGGGGCTGGGGAAAACGTGGCCAAATGAGGGGCGTGGATCGGGGCGACAGAAACATTTTTGGTTTGGCCGCACTGGGGTGATGGGGCGCAGAGAGGTGGTGGGGGTGGGGGGGCGCACGGCGGGCAGGGGATTGAGGAGGGAGCCAGTGGGTGTCGAGTCGGGGTAAACAGTGGTAAGCGTGCGCACTGCACACTTGCACGCACCCCAGGGAACCCGCATTCACCACCAAGCAAGCAGTGATTAGCGCTGTGCCCCAGATGCTCACTGTCTTATAGAGTGCCCTGCTGCTTGGGTTCCCCACCCCCGCCCCCCTCTGTTTTAGGCAAACATTGACACAAATATTTTGAGTGGGTTAATGAGTTGAACTAATATTTGTGGCTCTTCTGTTGCTATACATACTGGACGTAATTTTTGTTCACGCTGACAGCGAATTTAAAAATATATATTCACTGTATATCAAACAGTAATTGAATAAATAGTTAATTGGTAGTTATGCCGTAAACTGTAATAAATTCATTATTGAAATGGCAGCCTATTAAATAAATGTTTTTTTTTTTAATCAATTATAAATAACTTGCAGCCATTGTGTTTTCCTTGTAAGCTATGCTTAACACATTTGAGTTCCATTGAGAGGTTGAGAAACTAATGTCTGTCTCGAGTGACCTTGCTGAAACAGTGCTGCTGCAATCAGCTGAACTGAACAACTCTCAAAATAACTGGTTGTGGACGCAGTGATACTTACCCCCCTAATTACTGCTGCTCTCTCCACACCACAGTCTGGCCGTTAGCCATGCCCAAGTCCTATTAGTGGAAACACAAATGTGCAGTGTTCAGACGTTGTGTTTACACACGAGGAATCTGCACTCTTAGGGGTGCACCCTTTCGCAAATTTCTTCCTCTGTGTTTGGGCTGCACCGCCATACACGTCGTAATTTACATGACTGGGCGCGGCCATTTGGGCGCTTGTGGATGAAATGAGGGCTTTGAGTTTGGCATGCTGCCATGGTTTCTGTGAGGCATCTGCTTTTGTTGCTGCTTCATGCGTTCGCCCAGCCCGCCCGCACCGAGAAACGGCGGAGAGCGAATGATGGCGCAAGACAGACAGCTTGAAGTTTCCTTTTGTTAAGTCTTGCTTCAGCGGTTTAAATAATCCCATAATAAAGGAGGTGACAGAAAATGTTAGCTTTTGGTTTTCTCATATTCTCCTGTATTTGTTTGAAGTGCTTCTTGTGAGGACATCTCTCGTGTCTGCGCTTTCGACAGTGCCTTACATATTGTGCATTATGAGAGGCTGTTTAATGTGGTTCAAGTGTTTTCTGGTGAGTTGTTATATTGCCAGAGGTGGCTTGACAACCCTGTATGAGGAGACATTTGCCGTTGTGTTTGAATTTCCGAAATCAGTAATAAATATTAATGAGACATCAATAATAGCTGATCTATTCCATAGGGGAAAACACAACCGTTTCAAATGTAGGCTAATCCTCTGTGACGTACTGTAAAGTGAACAAATAAATGTGCAATGTTTAGGGGTAATGCACATATAATTTTCTGTTTTATTAACGAAAATATCGAGGAGGCATTTTTCAGGAGCACCATTGATGTATGTTGAAAAGAACTCAAACATTTTGATTAACTTCAGCAATTGTTCATTCTTTTTTTAATGTGATAATCCACCGTTAAGTTGTGGGATTTTTGGACCAGTTTATGAATACTGTATATGTAGCATACAAATTCCATTTGCTTTACAAAATGACTGACAAATTGTGTGGGTTTTTTGGGAGTAATGATACAGAAAATTAGATTTTTGTGCTGAAGGAAAATATATTCTGTTATTGTAGATAGAAAGGAAGAAAAAAATGTGTTAGGATTCCATTTATTTTGCTGCCTGATTAACCATTGTATATTTGAAGAACATGGTATCACGGTTTACAATATTCCCATTGAATTTGCTCCTGGTGTTCTTTGACCTGTAATGGCTTCCTTTGTATCCAGCGCGTGTGTGTGCTTCGTTATTGGATAGAAGCTTTCCATCACACTGCTTGTAAGAAGGCAGGAGCCATTACGAAGGCTTGTCTGTCTTTGTGAAATGACATCCTTGAGTAGCGAGCAGTCGCCCAAGAAAATGGAACTAATTTTAAGGGAAATTTTAAAAGCTAAATAATAACATGAAAAAAATTATGCAAGGTGTTTTCAGTGGATAATGTCTTGCATTGATTACTGGTGTCATTTGCTTTCTTGTAAATGATAATACTGAAAATTTATGTTTGTAGCTACATTTCAAATATTGTTAGGTTTGTTTGAAAATGAACTAAGTGAGATTTTTTTTAATACAAATGTAGGCTATAGGTTCAGTGACATTTAAACGATCAGCATAAGGATTATTGCTACATTTATAGTTGTAGTTTCATATTTCAATGAATCAATTAAAATATTTATCGAATTTCATACAACCACCTACTGTAGTTACAGAACATCGCGGTGTGTTGGTTTATGTCAGACGAGAGCAACTTATTTCCATAACAGAGACTGCAAGGCGGCTTGGTGTGGGGCCGATGATGCGATGCAGTGGGCAGTAAACCAATGGCTTTTGCCTGCAACGCGTATGCGCACAAATGCACGCTGGCGAGTGCATAATGAGCTGTTTGTGTCTGTGCCATCAAGATCCGTCACAGGAGGGGAGCTGCCATTTGAACAGCAACTAAAGCGCAGGCAAATGGAGCGCGGCACAGCTGCTGGCTCACACACACGCGCGCGCTCACACACACGCGTGCACGCACGCATGCTCACGCGCACACGCACTGGAGCGCACGCGTACGGGGAGACGCGCGCGCGTGTATCCTCTAACAAAGTGACTATTGCGATGCCGTAACACACGCATGCACAAGAGCTCCCTCCACGGCGGCAGCGGACGTCCCCCCCAACTGCTAATTAGCTTTGAGGATCGTTCTTGGCTTTTTATAGCGGTCGGCGAAGCTGCGTTTTGCCAGCAAGAACAGGTGCCTCTTCATCTCTGGCGTGGTCGGCGTTCAGGGCTCGTGCCCCCTCCTCCGGGCGAGCTGGCACGAAACCGGCATCCCGTGACGGCCGAGCTGGGGACAGTGGCCGCGCGTATGGGCACCTGAGCCGAGCGAGCCAGTGTCCCTCCTCCATCCCCTGAGCTCTCCCTCCCCTCCTCTATCTGCTCCGCCAGCCCCTTCCAACACCGACCCCGCAGTGCGTACAGTCCGGCACAAGCATGCATAATGCATAACGAATT